AATCAGTCTAATCAGGAAAATCTAATTCTTGTTCCGTGTAAGAATCAGCCGACCACAACCGCTGATACTGAAACTTTGAAACTTGCTATGCTAAATGTCAGATCTCTCTGTAACAAGTCTTTTTTAATCAATAATTTTATTTGTTCTTATAATCTAGATCTTATGTTCATGGCTGAAACATGGCTTGACCAAAATACAGAAAATGCAGTTTTAATAGAAGCATCACCACCAAATTTCAAATTTGAATCTGAAATACGGGGAAACAAAAAAGGAGGAGGCTTAGCTGCCATTTTCAGAGACCACTTTGTCTCCCATAGAATGTCTCTTGGGAAGTTTCCGTCTTTTGAATATGTGTCTTTTAAAATACAACAAAAACAATCTAGTCCAATACTCTTCATTGTCCTATACAAGCCACCGCAGTCATGTCACAGATTTATTGATAATTTTACGGAGTTTCTTTCAGTTTTATGCACAGATTTTGATAGCTTAGTTATTACAGGGGATTTTAATATTCATGTGGATAATGTTATTGACAGAAAGGCAAAAGAGCTGAGTTCTGTTCTTGAATCTTTTGGTCTCACTCAGCATGTGAGTGGCCCCACCCACAGCAGAGGGCACACTCTAGACCTGTTAGTTACTAAGGGGGTGAATATTTCAAATGTAAACGTGGTCGATGTTGCGCTTTCGGATCATTTTTGTGTATTTTTTGACATGTGTTTCACTAACAAACCACCAGTGGACTCTGCAACTGTACGAAGAAGACACATAAATGAAAATACGGGTGAACTATTTATGGGAATGATAAACTTTGAGAATGCATCGTATTCTACTGTAGATGAACTGTTTAACTCTGTCACCTCTAGTGTTTTGAATGTTCTGGACACCATCGCTCCTGTGAAGGTTAAAACAATGAAAAATAAGCAGAAGGCGCCGTGGGCTAAAGCAGACTCGGTCAGGGCACAAAAGAGAGAGTGCCGGAGGGCCGAGCGGAAGTGGCGCAAGTCCAACCTCCAGGTTGATTACGAGATCTTCAAAGATAAGTTGTGCGAGTTTAACCAGGTGCTACGTAGTACGAGAGAAAGGTATTTTTCTGAAATGATTGAAGGCTGCAGCAACAATCTGCGTGTTCTGTTTTCAACAGTTAATAGATTAACAAACCCCCCTGTTCAGATGCCATTAGAGCTAACTTCCAAACGTAAATGTAATGAGTTTGCACATTTTTTCAATGACAAGGTTCAAGGCATCAAAAACGCCATTGTCTCCAATCCACAGATAACCATCCAACAGCCTAAAAGGCTCTTTGAGCTAACTTACTTTGCACCTGTAAATGATCAAACTGTCCAAGAGATAATCTCCAGTCTGAGCGCCTCCACATGTAGCCTGGATGTACTACCCACTAGATTTCTAAAGTCTGTTCTGAGCAGTCTGTTACCTTCACTCACACAGATAGTAAACATGTCCCTTCATTCTGGAATATTCCCAAAGGCCCTGAAAACTGCAGTCATCAGGCCCCTGCTTAAAAAGAGCAGTCTGGATGCTACGGTACTTAACAACTACCGTCCCATCTCAAATCTGCCATTTATGGGGAAAGTCCTTGAAAAAGTTGTCTACCAACAGCTAAATAGATTTCTTATAATCAACAACTCATTTGATATGTTTCAGTCCGGCTTTAGACCCCACCACAGCACTGAGACTGCTCTCGTTAAGGTTACAAACGATATCCGGCTAAACACTGACGCAGGCAAAGTCTCAATCCTAATCCTGTTAGATCTGAGTGCTGCCTTTGACACTGTCGACCATGAGATCCTCTTACAGAGACTAGAGGACTGGGTTGGCGTCGCTGGCACCGCCCTAAGTTGGTTTAGGTCTTACCTTGAAGACAGGAAGTACTTTGTGGAGATTGGAAACTGTGTCTCAGATCATATGGCCCTGACCTGTGGAGTACCACAGGGGTCGATCCTGGGACCTCTTCTTTTCAATCTCTGCATGCTGCCGTTAGGTCAGTTAATACGCAGAAACGAAGTTTCCTATCATAACTATGCAGACGACACTCAGATCTATGTCTCACTGACTGCAGGAGAACATGGACCAGTGGACTCACTCCTTCACTGTATCCAACAGATCAGTGAGTGGATGCAAAACAACTTCCTTCAGCTAAACGCAGACAAAACTGAAATGATTGTCTTTGGTCCCCAGAAACAAAGAGAGAGCGTCATCTGTCATCTACAGTCTCTCTCCCTAAAACCTTCAAACAAGGTCAGAAATCTAGGGGTAATACTGGACTCAGACTTAAATTTTAATAGCCACATCAAATCAGTAACATCAGCAGCTTTTTACCATCTAAAAAACATTTCCAGGATCAAAAACATAGTGTCTAAAGCAGACTTGGAGATTCTTATCCATGCATTTGTCTCCAGTAGGTTAGACTACTGCAATGGCCTGCTCACAGGTCTGTCCAAACAGGCTGTAAAACAGCTGCAGTACATTCAAAATGCAGCAGCTCGAGTCCTGACTAGAACCAGGAAGTACGACCATATTAGTCCGGTCCTCAGGTCTCTGCACTGGCTTCCTGTGGCTCAGAGAATAGACTTTAAAACAGCTTTGCTTGTGTGTACAAGTCTCTCCATGGCCTCGCACCAAAATATATTAGTGACATGTTAGTCCCATATGAACCAGCCCGGACTCTGAGGAGCACAGGGACTGGACTCCTGTTAGTGCCCAGAGTCAGAACTAAACATGGGGAGGCTGCTTTTCAGATTCATGCTGCTAAAATCTGGAACATTCTTCCTGAAGATGTGAGACAGGCCTCCTCTCTGACTATGTTTAAAACCAAGTTGAAAACTGTGCTGTTTAGCTGTGCATACAACTGAGGGATTTTATATTTTTATCTTTCTTTTTAATGTTCTGTGATTATTTATGATTTTAATGCTATCTTGTTCAGCACTTTGAGTTGCCTTGTGTATGAATTGTGCTATACAAATAAACATGCCTTGCCTTGCCTTGCCTAGGATCACTCATGGTGTGCAAAAGACAGAAAATGTGCAAACATGTAAAAAAAAGTGAAAAATACATATAGTATCTTGTGCAATAAAAGGTATTTTGAGTACATTTTATAAACTCGGGATGCAAAAAACTGATGGATTCATTGAAAGAATCACTGGCCAACTATCGATTACAAAATAAGAGTTACTAGGAATTACAGTCCTAGTTACAACATTCTTCCCTTCGCCATAAACAAACCTGGAGCTGTAGAGCATAGAATTCCTCTTTTCATCATACGGCACAAGTTTAAAACATGCTCTATAAAACAAAAGTATTGCTTCCAGATATGTTTTGCCAATTTCTCCAGTCAATTATAGTTTAAAACTGGGATCCTTCAATTACATAGTGCCACTAAACTGTTCTACCACTAGATGGAGGTGTTTCACTATGCAAGATCATTTCTTTATCTTCACACTACATAACATTAAAAGCCAGAGTAAAGATTCTCAGTATACGTGACAAAACTCATTTCAAGTTCTTGTCAATCTCGTTCAAAAGTAAAAGTTTACGCTACAAAACTACGGAATGAGTAATATCAACGTTGATTTAGGGAAATTGGGTTTACTATCTCATTACGAAAATTTTTTATATTATGTTGAGATATTGATCATTCCACCACCACTTTAGAAAGATATTTTAGGATTAGTTGATAATAATAGAGTTATGAATAAACAAATGAGTATTACAGGCTGTTTAGTTTTAGTATTTAACTAACTCCAGTATTACTCTTAGGCAACACATTTATACTTTTCTCTATCTCTATCTTCTCAGACTATCTCTATCTTCTCAGACTATCTCTATCTTCTCAGACTATCTCTATCTTCTCAGACTATCTCTATCTTTTCAGACTATATCTTCTCAAACAGATGGCTGAATTGTCAAAAGAGCAACTATTTTGCAGCAGTTGTCGTATGAACTCAGAGAATATATTTTGTCATCTCTCTCTCTCTCTCACTTCTCTCTCGTCTCATACAGACATCTTTCTCTGGTCGTCTGAAAAACATTGCGATTCAAAGGTTCCTTTTCTCACATTCTAATTTTGTTCTTTTATGAAAAGTAATTGATAATGGATACAATTGGAGAGACAGAATTAACCCAAATAAGGCACAATATTTGATTGTTGTTTTATTTTGTTTATTTGTTAAAGTCTTCCAGCACTTCTACCTTAAAATGTGCCCTCCACTTCATGAAAATACGTTCATTCAATACAACCACTAAAATAAATACTATTTCAACTGCACAATATTGTGCACTAATGCTTTTACGGTGTATTTACTTTTCTGACACTTCATCATAGTTGTGTACATCGTACCTAACTTTATTTTTTCATTTTAAAAACCCATGTTGGTCTCAACAGAAAAAACATTTTTAGAAAAGTAATTTAAACCAGATCACCACATGCTTTTTATTTTTGTATATTTTTTGCTTTCTAAAAAGCAAATAATATATACGTATGTGAAAATTTTGTTTTAATTCAATGTATTTTCCTATAGCCCTAAATCACCACAGATGTTGTCTCCGAGGACTTTCCAAAGTTGTCAATCCACCAACAACAGGTTAGAGAATCAATCAGTTCAAACACAGGACGTGCAATTATCACACATAGATGAAGAATTGGTCCATAATAGCTTATTTTAGTAAATTTTTGTAGTGGAAAGTTATGTTCCGCAGCTTTAATGGATGCGGACATTAGCAAGGATATGGACGTGTGTTCGTAGCTCCATTATTAAATAAAGTAAATCACATCTCTGTTACACAGACTCCGCACAGTTTAATCTTCCCTGTGGCACAATTAGTATCATTCCTACACCTCCTCCTCCTCTTCCTCCTCTTTCCTCAGGCAGAACACAAACACACTCTGCTAATGAGATCGGTTCTGTTCAGGCTGATTTGATTAAACACACTCACCTTGTGTGCGTGACCTCCCTCAGATACCGAGCCCCGATGCCATTTGCCACATGCACGGACATTTTCTCTACGACTTCCTGCAAATAGACGTCGTTTATAACAGATTCCCATCATGCTTTGTGCTGGTCATCCTCTTTCTGCAGGTCTCATTTCACGTTTGTGGTTCGTGACAATGGAAGACAACGTTATGGTTTCTGTAAAGCAATTGCAGTCTGGTACAGGTGAAGCTCAGGAGACTAGAATATTGTTCAAAAGTGAATTTATTTTTGTAATTCAACCAAATGTGATACCAGTATAGACCATATTCAAAGTAACATATGCACAAACTTTGTTATTATTTTGATGACTGTGGCGCACTGTCGGAACAGTGGTTAGCGTTAAAGGTTCTGGGTTAAATTTCTGAGTGGAATTTGCATGTTCTCCCTGTGCCTATGAAGGTGTCCCCCGGAGTGTTCCGGTTTCCCCTACCAATAAAACATCTTCAATAGGTATGAATGTAATGAAAGAGTGAATGGATTAAGATGTTTGAACCACGCTTCTGTCATCGCTGTATGTAGTGAATAGGAATAACCAATTATCATTATAATAACAAAGGCTTGATATACCTGTATCTCCCTTTTGGGTGAACTGAGTCATGTATTAGTTTTACATTGTAAGTAAGAAATACAGAAGTAAATGGACTTTTAACCATATTAGTAATTTTCAGAAGTAGTATTCCCTGTTTCCACCAGCCCTACATAGCCCTACTCTTCTCAGCTCTACTCTTGCTCGATTGGGAGCGTAGAGTAGAGTAAAGTGAGTGGGGTCAAGTAGGGCTGGTGGAAAGAGGGCTTTATGAAAGCGAGGACAGATGAATTGTAAGAAGAGCAGCAGTTGTCATGTGAACTTTCTCTCTTGTTGCATCCAATACTTTCTCCTGTCGTCTCAAAAAAACATCGCATCTCAGAGCTTCCTTTTCTCATGTTGTAATTTTATTCTTTTGTGGTAAATACTTGAGTTAAAGCGTGAAAGAGAAATGATGAGTCGAGGGGGATTTCAATTTTCTTTTTCTTCACTGTTTGGTTCAAACAGATGTATAGTGATTTTTGAAGGCAATATTGTTTTTCTGGTCAAACTTACACGTTACTTATGATAAATTATTATTTCTATTTCTACTTGCACTGCTTGAATCATGCCCTCAGATACAGCTTACATTTTTCATATAAACTTGTCTCATTAAATATGTCTGCCTGTCCAAGTTTCTAAAATGTTAAATACTATCATATTTTCTCATGACTCAAGTATTGTAGTTGTTTTGACTCTACTTCTATAAGAATGATTGTGCTGTGCCTCGAAAGAACGCTCCATATTATGGCATTAAAGCAACTCTAACAGCGCCAGAGCTTTAACAATTTATCAATTAATTACAACTATTCATGTTTCTTCACGCTGTTATAGTAATTGATTAATGTTTGCTGCGAGATGTGATTTTAAGACTCAAAGAGGGCATTTATCTCATTAAACATGTTTAGAAATTGTGTCACTATCATGTTGATATAGTTTGTGTAAGTTTCAACCGTGGTTAAAATCCTGAATGCTTCAGTTTGGACCCAAATAAAGATGTTTATATTTGAGGGGCGACAGTAGCTCAGTTGGTAGAGCATTGGCCTTCAGGCCTGAAGGTTGTGGGTTCAATTCCCACCTCTACACCTTCTCCACCGACTCCCACTGATGACTGCTGTCGTTGTGTCCTTGGGCAAGACACTTAACCCCACTTTGCCCAAAAAGCCCCCACTGAAAGATCAAGGCTATGCTCTCACTCAGAGAGCAGCCGTCCTCCTGTGGACTCACCACCTGCAGAGGGTCAGTGAGGGGCTGGTGCTATGAGACTTGGGTGGCATCTCTGACTGCCACCCCCCTGACCCAGAAATGGATTAAAGGGTAGAAAATGGATGGATGGGTATTTAATTGACTCAACATAATAATGTCCTCTTCCTTTCCATCTTTTGTTTTGTGTTGTAGAAAGTCAGTGAGAAGGTTGGAGGAGCTGAGGGAACAAAACTTGACGATGACTTCAAAGAAATGGAAAAGGTAAATGACTTATATCAGTTCACTTGTGAGTGATGGTAGTAAACTGTTTTGTGTCTGCCAGAAAGTGGACATCACCAGCAGAGCGGTGTTGGACATCATGACCAAAACCACAGAGTATTTACAACCAAATCCAGGTAAACTCCAAACACGGGATCATGTAAGAACCTCTAAGAGAAGGAAAAACAAAGTAGAACATCGGATTTATACTTTTAAATGATTGTAATTTACAGGACAAAATAATAATAAAATATTAATTTTATTTTAATTTGAGCTGTCCATTCCGGGACTGGGGGCATAGGGTGTTATTTATTATACATATTTGGTGTGTTATCAACCGATAAATTCTTGTTTGACTAAAGGAGGGGTGTCCAAACTTTTAAGTAGGAGGGCCACTTTAGTTCACCAGACTTTTCCAGGTGGCGAGGGTTTTTATTGGATTCAAGATGTTCTGAGCATCAACTTTATATATTTATTTGAACAGTATAAATACTGCACAAAAGGAGTGGGCTGAAGAAAAAAGCTTATGAGCAACACACACCCAAAACTCAATTTTAATCAAACTTGACATATTACAATGAAAATAGTGCAGAACAAGGATATAAAGGCACAAAAAAAACTACATCTGCACATCCTGGATTACAGAATAATTAACAAATTACAGAGTAAGGAATAGATCATACCATTGTCTATGGCTTCACTGACCCAACTGAGGCATGACCACATTATCACATTTGACAGAGCTGAAGTTGGCTGAATGAAAACAAATGATAATAATGAGCAACATTAGTCACATATGCATTTTTGTGCCAGAATCACAAATAAATGTTGTCAATGTCAAACAAAGTCAGTAACAGAATTAAAGAGATTCTGAGATTTATAATGAGGTATAGCATGCTTGTATTGGTGGAGATTAAGTTGGCTGGGTGACATTTAGTGAATGATTATGATTGCGATGGCTCATTTTGGGTTAGCAAAGCAGAGGGCCAGAGAAAATGACACAGGGGGCCGCACTTGACACCCGGGCCATAGTTTGGACATGCCTGGACTAGAAAAACACTCCCAGTCGATCAATTCGTTGACAAAAACGGGCTGTAGCAAAAGCTCTGGAAACGATAACATTTTAGTAAATACTATTAATAAATACTAGGGCTGTCAAACAATTAATTTTTTTAATCGAGTTAATTACAGCTTAAAAATTAATAATCGTAATTAATCGCATTTCAAACTATTGGCAAAATTATGCCATATTTTTCTGTAAATTGTTGTTTGAATGGAAAGATAAATGACAGCTTAGTGAACATATGTACTGTATTTGTTTGTTATAACAATAAATCCATATAAAATGGCATTAACATTATTAACGTCTTTCTGTTTAGACTCAGACCAAAACTATAGTTTGTTACAGATGAGGGACATTTCAAAATAGTCTGAAGCAGAATATCATTAAATCTGTTTGATTTGCTCACACCATTACTTTTTTGGCACAACTAACATGAACTGGTGGTCGAAAGGAAAATTAGGTACCTCAGCTTTAATTTAGCGAGTGCGCTTCGGGAGAAGACACGGAGGAGACTGAGCCTCCGCAGTCCAGCTTCAGCGCTGTATATATTGTGTGCATCGGTTACGCAAAGACACGTACGCACACTAGAGAATAGTTCTGTAATAGTTCTCTGCATGGTCTTGGATATGATCCCATTACGCAGCGCCGTTCGCCGTCATCACAGCCGCTGGAAGTGGGACCTGCTGTTCAGAGCGCTGTGGCGCTCGCAGCTCATCATGCAGAGTCCATACAGGAAACAACAAGTGCCCCGCGGTCACGCGTGTATTCTTTCAAAACTTGAATTCCCAGAGGGCTCTGCTCTGTCCCCATCTTACACACGCGCATGTGTCCGTGGCATTCTGAGTGTTATTATGGGACGCATGGGCATGCGTCAAATGCCTTAATTTTTTAAACGCGATTAATGAAAAAAATTAATTAACGTGCGTTAACGCAATAATTTTGACAGCCCTAATAAATACATTTGAATTGGGAGATTGACTTGAATATCAATAGCAACTCTTGCTCTCAGCAAGAAGGTCCTGGTCTCGGAATCCCGGTGGACCAGGCCTTTCTGAGTGGAGTTTGCATGATTTCTCCCCGTGTCTAGCGTAGGTTTCTCGGGTCTCCGTTTCCCCTAACCACAAAAAATATGTACAATAAGGTCTGTCATACAGCCCTCCTGTACTGGGCACCCCCACTCCCAAAAAAACAATGTAAACCGCTTATTGAAACTCCGATGTGCATTGACAAGGCGGTATCAAAATAAAGATTAACTACTAGTTGGATTTCCAAACGTAAAGCTCTGGCCGAGATAGCCAGTGTGCTGTCCACCTATCAATTAATGGTATTACGACTCAGAGAGATGTTCAGAACAATGTCTATCTTTTATTATGGCAGAGTCCAATGTGTGATTTGTCCATTATACAAGCTCTGTGTCCCCATTTGACCATCGGCACATACCAGCAGTGGTCATGGGGCTGCATGATTCTGGAAAAATGTCTAATATATAATTGCTATATTTCTTTATTGATATTTCATTATTACACATAATGATTTTATAATATCTTGTATGTTTAAAAAGCATAATTGTGTTCAAACATATGAAGCAATTACTTAATTATTGCAGAGTTCCCACACATTTCCAAACATGTTTATAGAGTTTGAACCTATAGTACAACTATGTTTTCTAGTAGAGCTAAAAGATTGACTGCAAAAAGGTTATATTCAATGCCCTGAAAAAATTAGATGTTTAACTTGGAATGAGAACAAGGGCAAAACATATTTGTTTCATTGACAAATATTCCAACTTCACTCAAATTCAAGAGGTATTTTTCTTGTCTTAAGTCCCCTTTATATTTCTGAAGAACTTAAAGGTGATGTCAGCAACTTAAATTGTGTTTCATTTCATAAATAATGTATATTTCTGACTATGACACACAATATTATGTACAATAAGGTATTTAAAACAGTCCCTCTCCTTGCCATAACTACCACCAAACAAATTTCCTGGATTCGCTGCAATATTCCACTAAAGAGACTGAAATGTCCCGCCTGTGGGACGAATAAAGGTCTTATCTATTGCAAAGAAATACCTTGAATACCTCATAGACCCCAATTGTAATTGCTACTGTGTGTTTCAGTAACCATGGGGATCTAAATGAAAACAAACAAACCAAAAAACAGTGTGAATATCCTCTCTGCTGTTATGACCAAATTATTAACAGTAGGACATGGTAAGTCCATTGGGAATTCTTACCCATTTTGCCATTAAACATATGATTAAATGCAGAAAACCGAATGAGACATTGTAACATGGTCTCCAAGTTGTTCAAAGAATATGCCTTATTCATAAGAGAGAACATGTCACAAATCAGAAAATAACAGTATTTATCATCCAGTATCTGCAATAACAAAAATAAAAGGCCTGCTTAATATCAAAATAAATAATGGTGTGTGAGTCTATAACAAGTTCATACATAAATATACCACTAGAATGCAACAATACAACACAAAACATAACCAATGCAATAGAAAGAGGTCAGACAATAATGAATCAATTAGCAGCAGTCTTGCCTTTTGTCATCCAAACAAAACATGAAGGGAATATTGGAATGTTCTGGTATATCAACAAAACAAGAGTAATTTATGTCGTTATAACGTTTAAATTACAATGAGGCATAATTATACAGCACTTTACAATCTTAATACCCACAAGCTTGATGAATGTTAAATTATTGCCTGCAAAAGAAATTGTAGAAAAGGCGAGATCCCTAAAAGTATATTTTAATGAGCGTGATCCTATGCTAAAAGGACGATATTAAGTTTTCCTTTCCACATTTGGGAGATCAAAGTCATAAATTAGCCTCGTAAAGCTATCCCTTGTCCCTTGATGACAGAAACAACAGAATCTTGTCGCTGGATGTCATACAAATGGTTGTTTACGTCTCGTCAAACGCATTTTGCAACAATGTAATGTAATTTTTTGGGTTGAATAATCAAAATATTAATACAGTAACTGATTTAAGGTGCATTTTAATCGATTTTGGGGATGGATTTAGAATATTTCTATCGTAAACATCGTTGCTTACCTGGGTGGCTTTATGGAACTGCTTCTTCAAACCCGCGACAGACATCTCACTCGAAAGGAAGGGGAAGAATTACCAAGATAATGTGTTGAATTGAGATCTTAAATGGTTTGTTTAGGTCAGAGAAGGCAGTTCCCCGGGATAAAGATGCGCACGGGACTTCAGCGCTATGTTTTTGAGGATTCTGGCCGAAAATATGAAGCCAACCGCGGGAAGAGCCAGAGCTGCTCAGACGGAGGAGAGAGAGGCGAGCAGAGATCCGCGGAGACACAGGAGGGCTCACTCTGCCTCATCACAGCCTGGAGAGAGCTGCGGTACCGAACTTTATTGTTTCATTAATAGCACAGCGTCACTAATTGACGGTTTGGGCTTTTTGTTGTGGGTGTTTTTCTGACTTTTCTTCAAAGTCAAATTGTGATGAACTAATAATGACATGGGTTTTATTATAAGTGAGTATTTGTCTAAAATCATATGCTTTGTGAATATTGTCCCCACTTCCAGACATTTATATGAGAAAATACTTAGGCCATAGTACTTAGGTATAATGACAAAACAGATGTGGAATTTGTGACAGTTTTTGTTGTACAAGGATTGGCCCAGGAATAACAAAGGAAATAAGAATAAAAGACTATATTGTCAGTTACCATAGTTACCAGGAAAGATTGTTCAGCTGTCCTCATAGTATCAATTATAAAATATGTTTGGCTCTATGGAGTGTTGTAATGCCAAATGAACGAAAACTATTTTACATTCATAAAATTAGTCTAATGAGTTTGACAAGTAGAAACCATTCAGTTCGGCATTAAATATTAATTCAGTTCTATTGCATTTATTTTTGTATATCCCTAAATCACAACAGCTCAAACAACTTCATAGTTGTCGATTCGCCAACAGCAGATCAGAGAATCAAACAGTTTGAACACAATGCAATAAAAACACATAGGACCACTGGCCATACGTGTTACTAATGTGCATAAATGTCCAAGATCATCTTTTAAAAAATAATTAAAATATCACTGTCACAATGGTGTAGTCTGACACCATCTTCGTTTCATTCCATCTTTGTCTGATCTGAGAGCGACCCACGTTTTCTGTGACGTATGCATGTCCCTCCGCGTGCTCTGCCTGCCCCGCTGCACGAGACCCGATGATGCGCGTTTGGTGTTGACCATAGACCGTAATGCGCTGACCACAACTACACACACAGATCTCTGTTATAACACACTTCAACATCACAGGAGACAATAATACTTTCTGGATCACACAAAATACAGCTGTACTTCTTCTAGAATAAGTCTACGTTTGGAGCTCGTGGCTTTGTGTGACATGACCAACGGCATCAGGACCAAGGACAGCGACGTCAGGAGGCTGTGGTCCAGAACAAACAAGGTTCAAATTCAAGAAGGAAAACTTACAATAAAACATGCACAATGTTTGAACTGCATTATAGTAAGGCTCAACACTTCTGCATTTCTGCTAATCAATAAATACCCTCGCTTAAACAATGCATTTGTAAGAGTTGTGCGCTCTCTGCTGGTGGGTGACACAAACAACAACACAACTGAAACCTTATTTTTTCTTATTGTAACAATACAGTCTATGATTGTAACATATACAGATCCAGGTATATTCGTAAAAACTTTTCACTTCCATCCAGATAATGTGAGACCATGTTGAAGCATCAAAGTTTCATAAGTAAAACTTCTGTTCATTGTTTAAAATCCAAAATCCAAAAGACTAAGATATGGTTTGATTTGACTTTCCGTACCAAAGACAGAAACTTCAATGCTTATTGTTCTTATATATTGAGAGACCCTTGGCTTATTTCTTAAAGCTAGAGGACCTAACTTTTAGCAAACATATCAGACCATATTTAGATTATTTTACAAACTCAGACCTGATTAATGGGCCTCTCTTTTTCACTTTTCTGTCTGAAAATACATTTATGTAAAAACAAGTGATAGAGTAAAATAATAACAATTAAACACTAATCCCAATGGATCAAAAACACCATAAGACCAAACACATACTGATTACACATGAGTTTATTTGTTAAATTAGGTCGTAATAGTAATATCAATATCAACAATCATATTTCAAAGGTTAGCGCTGCATGGTTTCAAAGCAGGAATGTCAGGTGAAGCATCGTCCTTCGAAAGGCACAGGATTACACAAAATAAATCTATACAAAGCATTTTTAAAACAGGCAAAAGTAGAATACAGACTATTACAATATAACAAATGGGAAAACATGTGCGATAAATAGATGATAGCCGGTGTGATGTACAGCTTGTAACAGATAAAATCACAAATAAAGACAATACAAAGGCTTGAAAATGTTACTTCATAATACAGTAAATGCTCCTAATAATTAGGAAATTGATACATTTTATATACAAGGAGTTCTGCATGTTGTGAAGGAAGCTAGTTATTTCCATACATTTGATCTATTTTACCAGCAATATTGACTGTTTGTGGGTTTGGGCAAGAAACAACTAGAACATTTCACCACATCCAATGGATAAAGAGACTGTCTCTAATATTATAATGTGATCTTTGAAGCCAAATGTGACATCAATAAAGTTTTATCTCGTCTTATATTATGCTTCTTAGTGGTCTAATAAAGTCTTCAGAACTAGAATTTAACTTTCTGATGCGATCCACCTGCTGGAGTTTAGCCTGAAACTGTACAAACTCTGAGAATGTGTATTACGTTCGACTACGTATTTTTTCTTCCTGGTTTCATTTAAATATGTGCAGTGCTATAACGAGAGCCTCGTTCTGCTCTGATTGGATAATCTACTTAAAAATTAAGAAGTACAGTAACCTTTGTTTAACTATGATTTTTACACATTGACCTATTGTCAGGGAACACAAAAAATGTATATTATTATAGAATTATATTCTGTTTGACGATTGAACTTCAGCTAATGCACTAGACTGAGAATATGTGTATTTATATTGAAGCTGCTTGCAATCCTAATTCAAAGTTTTTTTTTACCCATTTTCTGATCTAACCCACTTTTAACAGAAGATTAAAATGGATGTATTTTTTCTGTTTTCTGTAGCGAGCAACACCTTTACAAGCTTGTTATTTAAAATTCTTGCAGTTGTTGGCATGAAATCAGAAACAGGCTAAAATACTCGACAGCTGTGATTTGCGTGTGTGACTAGACATTCTTCCAATCACTACATAATGTTCGGAAAGCTCCTGTGGGAGTCGCCGGCGGTTCCTAGTGCACGAGCTCGAGCTGGCTGGAGGAGAAGGGCAGGACGCCGCTGACGTAGTAGGCGATGCCCAGAGACAGCAGTGCGATGACCACCAGCAGCAGAAGCACCCTCCAGAAGCCCAGGTCCTCCACAAACTCCTGCCACGTGGTGCGGAAGCTGGACAGCACGCCCTCTGTGCTCTGCAGGTTTGGGTTCAGCAGCGAGTGGCTCTCCATAGCACTTTCGCACAGAGGAAACGCACATTAAATATGTAAAAAAACACTGAATGAAAGGTTTGGTAGGTCCTTCCTGCTGCTGTCAGACTGTACAATGAGAAGTGCTGAGCCTGTACATGTCATTCATCTGTAAAAAGTCTCATACTGTAATAATGTGCTATACTGCAATTTCAGATTGTCCACTGAATGTCACTTTATCTACTTATCCTGGCCTATATGTAAATAACTAACATATATACTTTTCCCCACTGTGGGGAGAATAAAGGATCTCTTATCTTGTCTTTATCTTAAAGAACTTATTTTTAGCTCTTTGTTTGACCAAAAGGCTAACACGGGTCCAAACAACATGCTGATGTTGTGATGTCCACTCACTGACAGATCAGTGAGTGGATGCAAAACAACTTCCTTCAGCTAAACGCAGACAAAACTGAAATGATTGTCTTTGGTCCCCAGAAACAAAGAGAGAGCGTCATCTGTCATCTACAGCCTCTCTCCCTAAAACCTTCAAACAAGGTCAGAAATCTAGGGGTAATACTGGACTCAGACTTAAATTTTAATAGCCACATCAAATCAGTAACATCAGCAGCTTTTTACCATCTAAAAAACATTTCCAGGATCAAAAACATAGTGTCTAAAGCAGACCTGGAGATTCTTATCCATGCATTTGTCTCCAGTAGGTTAGACTACTGCAATGGCCTGCTCACAGGTCTGTCCAAACAGGCTGTAAAACAGCTGCAGTACATTCAAAATGCAGCAGCTCGAGTCCTGACTAGAACCAGGAAGTACGACCATATTAGTCCAGTTCTCAGGTCTCTGCACTGGCTTCCTGTGGCTCAGAGAATAGACTTTAAAACAGCTCTGCTTGTGTACAAGTCTCTCCATGGCCTCGCACCAAAATATATTAGTGACATGTTAGTCCCATATGAACCAGCCCGGACTCTGAGGAGCACAGGGACTGGACTCCTGTTAGTCCCCAGAGTCAGAACTAAACATGGGGAGGCTGCTTTTCAGATTCATGCTGCTAAAGTCTGGAACATTCTTCCTGAAGATGTGAGACAGGCCTCCTCTCTGACTATGTTTAAAACCAAGTTAAAAACTGTGCTGTTTAGCTGTGCATACAACTGAGGGATTTTATATTTTTTATCTTTCTTTTTAATGTTCTGTGATTATTTATGATTTTAATGCTATCTTGTTCAGCACTTTGAGTTGCCTTGTGTATGAATTGTGCTATATAAATAAACATGCCTTGCCTTGCCTTGCCTTGCCTTGCCTTGCCTGACCTTTCCCACTGTTGTCTTGGGGTGGATTGCTATTTCAACAGGGGTCATAAAACACTGGCCATAACCTCAAACTTTGTCAAATTACATTAAATACGACTGCGTAGCTTCAACTACATCGCAACATTTTAGATTTTTAATAAAAAGAGGGAAGTGTATTGTCCTAAATTAAACACAAGATGGATTAGTTTCTCAGGATAGTAAATAACAGTTACATAATACAAACTGATTTCGAGTAGCGCATTGTAGAGTTGTTTTATTGAACACGCTCTGCTGCTGATATTTTAATACTACTAAAGCACATTCATTTCTTTTCAGTTTTTAAATACTGTTCCCGTCACCTCTCACTGTCGGCCATCTGCATAGTTTCCAGTTTGGAGTGAGTTCCGCGGTTGAATCCCTTCACTTCCTGTTCCTCCAGACCCTCCAGCAGACGGATGGCGTCTTTGTTCACTCCGCGCCGCTTTGCCAAAACCAGGGGAGTCGAGCCGTTGTGGTTACTGCACAAAAGAGAACGTTCAAAAGGATTACATGAATATACATGATTTCTAGTATACATACTGTATATACAGTCAGTCAGACCCTTTTACACATTTTTGTCACATTTTTGGGTGTAGAGGTTATTTAGGTTATCTGAACCTAATGGTTCAGATAACCTGGTCCTAATTTCTATACAAAATTCTACTACTGTCTGAGGTACTTGATGTGATAAGTCGAGAACCACTTACTCATCTGTTCACTAAAACCACCTTAAGTTGGTTTTAGCAGACCAGCTCCCACCTTCAAATAACTCCAAAGTTCTGATCCCAGTCAAAAACAGACTGGGATCAGAACCAAGTGCCTGCTTGCTCAGCTGAAGCAGTGTTTTTCTTTAATCCTTCTTAACAACACTATACATAGATTTGTTTGTCACAATATTTACAACATTAGCTCCTCAAAGGGCCAGTGTGGCTGCAGGTTTTTCTCCCAACCCAACAGGAGCACACCAGACTGTTCCTGCTTTGTTGGAATGAAAATCTGCAGCCACATCGTCCTCAAGGATCGGTTTGAAGACAGTTCTTTAAAGCCAACCCCAGACTACTGTTAGTGGCCCCTGAAAATATTAATTTATTACTTTTAACTAGTAGTATTGATGGTACGGTTCAAATCAGCTGCCATGATATGAGATACCTTATTGTAAAGCTATTACCAAGATATATATAATTATAATTCGTTAATTAAGCAGTAATAAATTAATGACTGAACTTAATGTTGCCCCAGTTTTGGTCCAGTCCAAACATACAGTAAATTAACTAGTTTTGTTCCAAAAAAATTCCCAGAATATAATCCAATTTTAGGTTAAACTAAAATAATCCTTCTGTCAAAATACCTTCATATTGAAAAACATGCATACAAATATTCACAGATGTAAAGATGAGCTGAAGACACTTTTATAATTTCGGCCTCCAGGAAGCTATTTATTTTAAATCCAGCCCTTGAGCAAAAAGAGTTTGACTCGGCTGATTGAGAGTATTATTGAGATCCTAAAGTCTTTGTAAAAATCTTACCAGATGTCAATCTTCAGCCCGTTGGAAACCAGGAACTGAATGGTGTCCACGTGTCCGCACAGATGCAGCGCTGTGTTGCCTTGGTAATCAGTGGCCAGGAGATCCGCCCCGAACTTATGCAGCAGGCGGCAGATCTCCACGTTCCCCCGAGCGGCTGCGAGGTGCAGCCCCGTTCGGCCGCGGTTGTCCCGGATGTTTGGGTCGCAGCCGGTCTCCAGCAGCCTCTTAGCGAAGGGCAGGTCTCCGTCTATGCAGGCCTGGAGCAGCGGCACCGTGGTCTGAGACGAGTCATTGATGAAGACATAGGACATGTCTGAGCGCGTGTCAGAAAAGTCCAGCGTAACTGAAACAGCAACAGGAGAAAAATAAATAGTTTTATTATAACAGAATAAAATAAAATACAATGATCTGATATAATGTATGTGGTAAAGAGAAGCCTGGACAAACTCATGTGGAGGGAAATATCCATCGATTGATTTTCAAAATTGTCAAAAGTCTCAAAGTACATATGTTCAAACTTGAAGAGAGTTTGAAAACATGTTCATATGAAGACATTGACTTATACTCAATTCACACACATTTCAGAATTTTATTGAGTTCTAACTTATACACCAGCCTGAGTTGTACAACACATTTTGTTAAAAGAATGTGACATATGACCGCCCCCTCTTTCTGTTAAGGGTTGGAAAAGCATTTATTTGGACTGAGAAATAAATGCTTCCAATGGCAAATCTTAAAAACTCAAATCAAAAGACATTTGCAAAGAACTTAAATAATTGCAATTTGTTAATTGTGATTCTGCGAGGTTCCGCAAACAAAAATTAAAAAGAGATTTCAAATTAAATTTAGGTATTTATAATGTGTGCATTTGGTGTAACATTACAGACTGCAAAAGTTTGGTAAGCCTGACCAACATCAGAATCAGTGCCACACGCTATCAGTCTGAACTGTCTTATTTGTTCATTTTCTTTGATAAAGGACCCCTTGAAAAAGAGATAGTTTATCTCAATGGGGCTATACTTAAATAAATAAAACTGTGGCGTCACTGGTACAGCAGTCTGCTGTAATCATGTATGCTTATTTTTATGATTATTATTGTTTTTGTGTAATGTCTTTCTTATCTGGACTTCGTGTCTGTAATAAAGTTTAATATATTGAATGCCTATTGTTCTTTTTTTGAAAATTCTGAAGTGTTTGGCCTTACAAGACAGTTTGCTTTCAGTATCCTAGATCTAGTCTTTACAGAACATTTGGAAATAGGTTTATAATGGTGTGTTACCATTTCTATGTCGTGAAATAAAACTCACACATATTGAAAAAGTGTCTTAAAGCAATAGTCTATGGAGGAGAAAGCTGACATTTCTCGACAGTGTCAAAGGTCTATTTTTTTGTGGATGTGTTTAGCAAAGAATGAAGCAGACCATGTTTGATATCAATGCTCGTGTAATATTAACCTTCTCCCACATGGCCATGGGTTATGACAAAGTCGGCATAAAACAGACAACACAGAAATAAATTAAAACTCCCAACATTGCATTTAATATAATATACAGCATGATACATGACACAGCTAACTTAGCAATTAGCTCCTAACAGATTTTACCTGATTGCATAACAACAATATTAGCACGCAAAGTCATCCATAAATATGTTTAAAAGCTTGCTGAATCTAAAAGTATATGTTTCCCTATATTTTAAAGCATGTATGACATAGAGAGAGGCCAAAAGAGTATAAAGCTAGCTAGAGATTAGCAACACAAGCTAACAGCATCCGCCATAAAGAACAGCCACTGCTCTGTTAGCATGTTGTCTGCTCTTTGCACGGAAAAGGCGATATATTAAATGCGTTTTTCTAATGTGGGGGTGTGTGTTTACCTGTTGAGTGGTCCCAGGTTTAGAAGAAAATAAAAATCCGCTGTTTCTGTTTTGTTTGTGAGAGGCTGCTTCGTTGGTGGAAAGAAGCTGCAGTGAAGCGCAGCGCAGCCTGTGGGTCTCCTAGCGGCGGAAGGTGGTACTACTACTGTGGAGTTTATTTCGAGTTCAATGTACATCAAACATTAATTATCAAGTGTCACTACAAATGATTTTCTAGCTAATCATTCAGTTTTAATTACTTATTACAATATTGTACATTATTCAAACTCGAAAAGGAGTGGAAGGAAGAAAAAATGTATACATTCCTTCCTATAAATTACAACTGTTGAAATCCTATTGTATTGATGTAACTATTTCATGTTTTAGTTTAATTTATAATTTGCATATAAAGGTGGTAAGAATTTTCCCATTTCACTACTTTACTTTACTTTTTTTGTAGATAACGGATTTTTACTTCTATCAGAATCAGAGTCTACTCCTTACTTTTAACCCCTTACTACACTTACGTGCCTGTAGATACAACTGAATTTTACTCTCATTCTATGTTTGTTTCCCAGCCAAATTGATAAAACATAACAAGCAAACTGAATTTGGATACAAGTGCCTATATCTCTTTTTCGGTGACATTTGCCTCAGTTGAGAAATGCGGTCATTCTACATTAATGATCTCTTTCATATTTACCATGAAACATTTTGGAACATTTTACAGTTTGATCTTTCACTGTTGAGCCAAGATTGTTCCCACTTATTATTAAAGTAAATTAGTTATCAGAGGCCAAAACTACAGGGCATCAGCTAAAAAAAAAATGGTGTAGAAAGGGGTCAATGACGACTATGTATTTTGCAGATGGTGATGCAAATATAAACAGGTTTGATAAGCAACTCAAGACTCAAGGCTTTGCTCTAGACGTGTTTGATGGTGGCCTTCCTTCATTGAGGACCACTGTTTAACTAATACCAATCTTTTTTTTTCCTTTTCCCACAAAATAATAATAAAAAGATGATTAAGTTGAATGTTTGAATTCAGATCTTGTTTGTCCCTAGTAGAGGGGAAATCTCGACCAGGGAAAGTGATTAAAAATTAGCATAAGCTTTTCACTCTGTATGGGTCGTATCAGTTGCATCGTTCCTTCTGTAACTAGGTATGCAATGTCCCTGTCAAATAAATTAAAACATTTAAAAAAAACTAACAAATCCATATAACAGAACTAGCTCTAAATCCTAAAGGTCTAATGCAGAGACAAATATTCAAAGTAATACGAGTTTTCAAACTTTTATTTTGAATGTGAGCACAGAAATACACTTTACAGTATCATGTAGCTTTACTTATGTTTCCGTTGTCGATCCTCTTTGAGGAAAACATTTAAGGAATACTTTTCTGTTACTCCAGGCACTTGCAGATGTTTTGGTCTTGAACATAAACCTAACTACAGTCCAAAAATATAAAGTTTGTGGTGTATGCAAATTCATCAGAATATAATCTCCATATAAAACAATATCCTAAAGACATTTCATTACAATATTTAATGTACAAATCATATTCTTTTCCCACCCCTCTCTGTTATATATGAAAGTATTAGGACATAGGTAAAATAATTACAATCTAGATTACAAAACAGAGGAAATAAGTGGGGGCTACCAGCAGAGGCGATACACAGTGGTCATAGTGGTTTCGGTCAAGTAATCAGTTGAGTACTTTTATCCCAAGAAGGAAAGTTACAAATTGTACTTGAACATCACATTTCTGCTCAAATCTCATGTTTTTCTTTCAAGCTTTATGTACAGCAACAACAATACATTTCTAAAAACGGGGGTGAAATAGGTGGAGAGAATCCTTCTTGATATGAGGGTTGAAGAGTTTGGAGTGGTACATGTTTATTGATTAGTATTGAGTAGTAGCAGTTGACCTCAGTGCAATAGTAAAGAAATAAGACTTATGATTTTAATAAAGAAATAAGAATGAGTTTAATAAAGATGTTTTAGTCAGGAAAGTGCTTGCAGTTGGATGAAGGCGTAGCACCAAAATGTGGCATAAATACTGAACTGGTAGAAAGTTGAGTTGCAACAAGATCATGGACAGAAACGGTTTGATACAAAAATAATTGCAGGAAAGCGAAAATATGGATTAAAAGATGTCGAAACATTCTAGAGAAAGAAATGTCAATTGGTCAAAAACTAAAGCTTGACAATGCAATAATCCCGTTCGAAAAGGACACATTCATTTAGCAATATATATTTAATACGTGTTTCCGATATATTCTAACATTACCAATTGGAAAAATAATACACTGCAAAATAAGTTAAATGCTAGAATTAAAGCTGGGGTACCTAACTTTCAAGCAACAGAAATTGGGATGATGTAATAAATATCCATCTAATTAGTTTTCAAAACAGTTTGGTTCTATCACTAGTTTACCCATTCATATAATTTTGGCCTCTGTGTGTTTTTCAACGAAATTTAGTGGGAGAAAAGAGGACCACCCCTCACTCAGCCAATCAGCTCTCAGCCCAAAGCGTCAAATAGTGACTCACAGGGCTTTTTCTTATAATTAAAAATGATATATATGTTCTACTTAGATCAAGATAGCATGTTGTAGCTTTTGTTCACAATATCATTATACAAAACTTTCTGTTGGGAAAAACAAACTATATTATTTTAGGGGAAAAGTAAGGTACACCAGCTTTAAGTAGTGATTATCTCGATTTGAGAATGATATATTTTTACTTTCTTAAACTAACATTTGCTGATGCAACAGGAATGGTTTTGTCATTTCAAGCTTAGCAGCACCTTTCCTCAATTCAAGCACAGAAATTATTTTTTGACAAAACCTGATATTTATTGCTGGTTGCTGTGGTCAAACTTATTTTAAGAAAGTGAAAATATAGTTAAATCAACATAATATAACTTCAAGCACTTTTTTAGAGTTTTTTTTTTTGCAGTGTATGTAACTTATCTCATGCACAATTATCATTATAACTATATTGTTGTCCACTTTGCAGCTGAAACCTTAGACCCAGCAAATGAGCAGACATGTTTGAAAGTCAGTAGGATTATAAAAGAAGGTTCTGAGGACAAACATTCAGCTCTTTCAGATCAGTCAGTTTGGTTTTGTGTTGAGTGAACGGCAGAGTGCTACGCAGAAGGGGGTGACACTGTCCGAGGTAGCCCAGATCGAGGCTCGCCAAAACCAAAGAGAAGACGCAAAAATCACAGACATTTAAGACATTAAAAACAATAGCACCATCGTCAGTGATAATCAAGGAAAGTCACGTTTACTGCAAAGAAAGAACGAAAGCTAGAGTTAAAATGACTTGGAAATGAGTCAAAGGAAATTAATGTGATTTGTAAGTGGCTCTTTATGTTCTTAAATTTGCTTTTCAATTTATTTTTTCAGTAACAGTAGTTTCAGTAGATTTCTGATAATATGCAAATCTAGATATAAACTTTAGAAAAAAGTCCTGAAAAAAAAAAAAAAAAAAACCCAACCAAGGCCATTCAAAAGATTCAATGTATTCAGATTGTGAACTATAAGGTTTACCATTGGAACAAGCACGGAATTTGTCAATTTACTTTATATGAAATTAAAACGGTTTTTGCACTAAATATTAAAGGGAAAACAATTCTCTGTCGTCAAATTAAGACTATTATTATTGCTTGTTCTATTGGAAAATCTTGCTTTAAGACATTCTTGCACTCACGATGACTGCTTGGACTAAACTCAACTGCTCATGCTCTGTGGTATTTTAGATTCCTGTCATTTTAACTCACACAAACGTTTACTTTTTGCAGCTTGACTTTCCTAAAATGGAATTCTCTTCCTCCCATTCACACTCCTAATCGGCAAACATCGCCACGGCCGCAGACGGGCCGTTTTCAGTCAATGGTTCTTGAATGCTTCCCATAATGTGTGTTTTTCGGTCCTCGTACTACAACAGCTTGCTGCAGACTTGACAGCGGCTGACTTTGGAGCGCTCCTGTCCGCCCTTCAGAGTTTCTTGGTTTGGGGAGAATGCAAACTCTTCCCGCGGGTCGACCGTGGTGAGCCAGAAACTGTACTTGTTGGAAAAGTAGTGGCAGGTTCCTTTGGCCCCGTTGCACTCGATGAAAGGCGTGGCCCTGAAGTCCTCCAGACACGAGCCGGGAGAGACCAGGGACTGACCGCCGCCTTCAGCCCCCGCCGCTGTGTGCTGTGGAGGGGATGTGTGGGGTCAGTTATGGATCTCTAGTTTTCAATTATTCATCAATAATAAAAACACATAAAACATACACACACAAAAATAAAAACAATTGATGTGTCTATGTGTTAGATTTGTCACCCAGATTGAGCAGGACGGCCTATATACGGCTTGTCTTTTGGATTGTGTGAATTGGAGTCCACCAGAACTAATTAGGTTGCGTTCATGTGCTAGAACTCTATTTCAGTTGGAGCCAATACCACTCTAGGAAAGAAGTCGTTTTTGATATTTTCCCCCCAGATAATAATTTTATTGTGATTAGATTCATAAACCCAGTATATTGTTATGCCTGAATGACTAACATCTGACTAACATCATGTGGCCTGATGCATTTGATTTCACTTCAGGGAAACTGCCTAGTATGATTGTAAAAAAGGTATAATAACGTTAAAACTCTCAAAATGTAAGTAAGTCGTGTTTATTTATATAGCGCATTTTACAGACCAAGCTCACCCAAAGCGCTTTACAATGTTCATAGTTCAGATATTGTTCCAATCATTCCACACACGGTGATGACGGAAGCGAGTCGCCGAACACACTGGAACATCAGCTCCAATCAACACCATCCATTCACTCTCTCATTTACATCCATACCTATTGTGCATGTTTTTAGTGGTAGGGGAAACCGGAACACCCGGAGGAAACCTACGCTGACACGGGGAGAACATGCAAACTCCACATGCAAACTCCACTCAGAGGCCCCGTTCCGACCAGGATTCGAACCCAGGACCTTCTTGCTGAGAAGCGAGAGTGCTATCCACTCAGCCACCGTGTCGTTCAAAAATGTACTCTTCATCCTGATTATAAATGGTATTTTTGGTGGATATTCTCAAACGCAGACAGTACGGCTTGGTCTGCAATCATCTCCACCACTTTCTTTACCCCCTGTCTTAAACTACAGACAGGCGCTGATTGGCTGATTTGACTTCCTGGTGCCCGAAGTGGTTGGAGTGATATGAAACTGAGGCACTTGGTAGTACCAGCCTGGCCAAATACTATACATGTGTTTTTAAATATATACAGTAAGTAAATAGAATATGGTTGTCTATATTTGAGAGTGAGTTACCATGAGAAAGGAGTATCCAATCCAGAGGCTCCTCCAGCCTGGGGGGCAGTTGGGGATGGTGGTGTCTTGACTGTGGACTGCAACAGCCTGGGACGGAGCCTCGCACACAGCACACCTGAGAGTGAAACACAAAATGTTTATGTAGAAACAATGTGTTACATCCATGTGGCAACTATCAACACTCAATCAAAATGTAGGACTACTTTAAAATCATCTCAGTGTGTATCTCAGTGTGTGGAGCTGCTGTTTGGAATTATTCCTCAGATAGATGAATTCAAAACCTACTCAAACCTGATTGAAAAAAAAACAAAAAGTACTGAAGAATTATGTGCAAGAAAATTCCTCAAGCACAGAACAATAGTGGGAGAGCGGTGTTTGGGCATGTGTGTTGTCAGTGTGTGTTGTCAGTGTGTGTGTGTGCGTGTGTTTGTGTGTGTTTGGTTTTGTCTGTCTTACCATCTGTGGTGTGGTGTATTGTATTACCTAACCAGGAACAAGTTATTTGTCTGTTACATTGCTATATGTACAACTATGGGTTATGCAGGTTTGAAAAAATAGAATAAATACAAAATAAAAACTACAGTATATACATTTCAACTATAATAAAGAATAGTAAAAAAAAGGAATTGACAGGAACTAGAGGCTATTGCCAAAAAAGAAGCTTTACGATCAAAGAGGAAAAACAACCTCGTCCACAAATACCACTACAGACTTCCAGCTGTCATAGATGCTAGAAGGCAAACCACGCTATTGAGAACTGGGGGATGGAGTTTTTTAATCAGGGCCTGGAGGGTATGTTTCGGTCATTGTTAATTCAAATTAGAAGACAATAATGTAGTGATGGGCAGATGAAGCCCCGTAACTCACCAAAGCTTTAAAGAATGCGAAGCCGGGTGACATATTGAAGCAATGAAACGCTTCAACACACCAAAGCAGTTGATACGCAAAACAAAGCAGCAGCTGCAGAGTCTGAACCACAGACATGTTTTCACGTTTGCCAATCACTAAATAAAAGGCTTCACACAGAAATAAACAATAGAAGGCAGGCTTCCTAAGATGCTAGCCCACTCTTTTAAATGTAACTTTATCATTTTTCTTAGCGTGTGTTTTATAATGGTCAATTGTGGATCAGCGTTGCCTACCTGCTGATGTAGGGTCGGATCTGGTCCTCGGACACAGGCATCATGGGGATGGGGGCGGTGGTGGAGAGCCAGTAGGACTTGTCGTTACGGCTGGCGTAGTAACACACCTCGCTGGGGGAACAATAGAGGAACGGGATGGTGCTGAAGCGTGGCAGGCACGAGCCGGGCTGACCTGAGGAGAGAAGAGAGAGTCAGGCCCCGGGCCAGAACAACATCACGTCATGTGTGTGAAAAGGACAATATCAGTGAGGTTTTCCATCAGAAGGCTATGGTGACCTCCAACTGGCCAACATCATGTAAGTGTGTTGTGGTAGCTCGTTGCTACCCACTAATTTGGCTCCAGATTCCCCGCTCAATATGCCTGTTGGAGTATATGCCGGATGCTTATGTTGCCCATATCAAAAACCACCACTGAAGACCATAGTTGTTGCTGCTCATACCTAGATCCTGGTTGTGTGCCTTCTCCTGCCCCTCCACGTAGAGCAGGCTGTAGCCGTCCCACAGCTGGGCCATTCCCTGTGGACACATGGGCACCTGGGAGTTCTGGCTGTGCTTCACCATTGTGTATCCAATACTGTAGCTGCGGCCCACGGAGCCGGGGGGTCCGGGCCGGCCAGCTGCACCGGGGAAACCTGAGGACACAAGAAGTCACGATAATCTTTGGCGGGCATGCGATTTGATAACTAGAGTTTCTCTGGTGAAATCCTGCATATTAATTATAAGAAGGATAGAAATACAGATCTAAAATGTATTCATCAAATCTGAACATGTTTTGGAGGAAACAAAAATCCCGTGATATGTCTGAATATAGGGCGACAGTAGCTCAGTTGGTAGAGCATTGGCCTTTGAGCCTGAAGGTCGTGGGTTCGAGCCCACCGTAAGACCTACTTAACGACTCCCACTGATGTCTGCTGTCGTTGTGTCCTTAGGCAAGACACTTAACCCCACTTTGCCTGAAGCCCCCACTGAAAGATCTCAGCTCCTGTGGACTCACCACCTGCAGGAGGATCAGTGCTCTATGTCTTGCTTGGCATCTCTGACCACCCCCCCGACCCAGAAATGGATTAAGGGGAGGATGGATGGATGGATGGATGTCTGAATATAAATACTGATATCTTATTATACTGACCTTGTTCTCCAGTGGGTCCAGGGAATCCAGGGGGTCCAGCATCACCGACAAAGCCAGAGGAACCAGCAGATCCAGGTCTGCCCAGTCGGCCCATTGAACCAGGACGCCCTTTTGGACCTAAAACAGTATATGTTTTCAGTATATCTCTAATGAAATAATCCCTCTTATTATCTCTTGTAACTGTCTCAAAATATTATTTGCCTGGTCTGAACAATGAGTCTGGCTAAGTCTGATAAACAAAAATCTAAAACAAGAATTAAACGGTACCAATTTAGGTCTGAATCAGGGTGAAGTCAAGGTAACTTGATTACATAACTAACTAACTGGATTAGCACCAATTTAGACCAATTTAATATTATTTACTGTAAATCTGGTGAAGCTACTGGGAACATATATCTACATAATGGTGGAAAAAATAGTACTTGATTTGCAAAATTCTCAAAGCTAGTGACCCAAATCATATCTTAGTGTGCGTTCACACCCTGGAGCATGCTTGAAATAGACCATGGTGATGTCACCATGGTCCTGAACCAGGTCCATGGTAACATACATCAAATCCGGAATTGAACTAGTCAAGAACACAGGACAGAAATGCTTAAATAAGGGTGGAAGAGAGCTTCTGCATTTACCTGATCGTCCGGGCATGCCAGGCTGTCCAGGCTCTCCAGGGCTGCCGGGGCTTCCTGACTGTCCGGCTACACCCATGTCTCCATAGAGGGGCCGAGGAGGAGGGGGCCCAGGCAGGGTGAGACCAGGGGGACCCTTACGACCAGGGGGACCTACACAAAGACAAAAGTGTTTAAAGAGCGACTAAACACCTTACTCCGCCCACATGAACATTTGACCTTTTTCTCTAAAAAGGGCGTTGCCTGGAGGACCAAGGGATGAGAAGGGGGGCTTAGAGGTGGGCGTGGTCTGGGCTGTGATTGACAGCGTGCTTGTCACACCAAAAAAAATGACAGTTGTCATTGCTGCTTAAAGCAATAGTTTACACAGGAGAAAGTCTCATTCCACCTTTGTTAACACACTAAGATAATTGTAGAGCGACACACCTGAACCTAAGCCACTGATTTATCTCAGTAGTGGTGGTAAATTGATTTTAATCCACTAGATGTCGCCAGAATACTCCAACTCGCTACAGGCGTGTGTGAGACTAAAGCCTGGTTCACACGGCAGGATAATTGGGCCGATTTTGGACCCGATTTACCCCTACGACAATCGTAAGAACGCTCCGAATATCGTAACAAAAAATCTGATGGATTGTCCTGCCGTGTGTGGTGTGACTGTGCTCGTCGCTCGGAAGGACTTCGGGACTGCTCCGATCTCAATATCGGGGATATCCAACATGTTGGATTGTTTTGGCCCGATTTCTCTTCGTGTGTGGTGTCCCCCGAGGACAGACGAGCGCGTTGCCATGACTGCGGCGTGTAGCCAATCAGAAGACGAGAAGAGGCGGCGAGGAAACACCGTAAAAAAAAAAAAACAGTCAGCGGCATGGCGCACCAGAAAGTTCGGTGGACATCAGAGATGGAGGCACTAGTTGACCTCTGGCAACACCGTGAATGTATGTATGACGTGTCGTGTAAAGCATATCATCACCGAAATGACAAGGACCTGCTGCACAGGTAGTGTTGGCATAAGCCCTATTCGGACGGGATTAGTACACTAAATGATCAGACTGATGGGTTGTGTTTGTACGTTTACTTTGAACTCTGTCCTAATACAGTACAGACGTGGTGATGCAGCCGTTACTGCAGCCGTGCTTGCTGGTTTGCGCGTATGTAAAGTTTCATGTCTAGCAGTGTGTTTGATGCGTTCACAGGTAGTCCGTACAAACTCTATTATTGAACAGCACAGACAGCACGGGCCAGAGAACTGTAGAGCAGTAAAATCCACATGTATGTGTTTGTCCTCATGGTGTCTGTGGCTGCTGTGGTCAGACGAGAGTCTCTATAGGCTGCGTGAAGCGGAGAGGCCCGCACACTCTGTTTACTCTGAAGTCACGCTTGATCTCGAGCGATGTTGTGAGATTTCCGGTGACCTGTGAATGCTCGGGGGTGAAATCGGTTCGTGTGTGGTTTGCGTGATTCTGCCGTGTGGCTGCGCACCACACACTGTACGACCAAAGTGGTTAGACCCGTGATTTTTTATCTCCGTGTGTGGGGTCCCACATGGGGAAAAAATCGGTCGACAGTTTTAAAATCGTCTCGTGTGAACCAGGCTTTAGATGGTTTTATACCACTGGCGCAGACAGACGCACGTCACACACAACAACTGATGTCACACGGTACTCCAGAGTCAATGGAGAGGCCAGGCAGTAAATTCAAATGTAGTGCCACCAAAAAGGTAGAGAGGGCGCCACACAGACGTTTTTAGGCTCAAAAGTGAGATCTTATCTAATTTGCACTAAAATGTCAAAAAAATTACCAGGACATGGAGAGAAAATATTCATGCAGTTTACGAGTTAAAGAAGTTGATTTGGTGTTTAGTTGTCCTTGAAGTACAATACAAAAACTGTTACAGTTGTTAGTGAAGACAAACACACCTCTGAAGCCTTTTGGTCCTTTTCCTCCGTAGAATCCAGAATCACCAGAAAATCCTTTGAGACCTGGACCTCCACTGTATCCAGACTCGCCTCTTTCTCCTAAAACACACATATATGCTTAAAGAAGCTATACCCGATTTTTTTTCTAAGTAGTTCATAAAAATGCTTTTTACTACATACAAGTTGTATCATAATACATAATTTAATTAAAAACTTGAGGTCATTGATTCCACTGTGTATGAAATTCAGGCAGTGAAAAGTGCTGAGTAGAGTCTGAGCGGGCCGCTCGTTCTCCTCCGCTCACAGAACGAGCAGCGAACAGCCTGCGTCCTCTAGCCTCTACAGCGCTGCTTAAAACCAGGGCTTCAACTTCAAAATTCGAATATAATTCTAAAATAAAAAAAATATACATATTTGAACAAATATTAGACAACCCTTATAATTAGAAATGTATTTAATGACTGCAAATAAAATAGTTAGCTCCCAAAGGTTTCACCGGGACGTGCTAGGCACGGTGGCTGAGTGGATAGCACTCTCGCCTCTCAGCAAGAAGGTCCTGGGTTCGAATCCCGGCCGGACCAGGGCCTTTCTGAGTGGAGTTTGCATGTTCTCCCCGTGTCTGCGTAGGTTTCCTCCGGGTACTCCGGTTTCCCCTACCACTAAAAATATGTATAATAGGATTGGCATGCGCCTCCTGTTCGGCGACCCCGCTCCCATCTCTGTGTGGAGTGAGAGGACAAGTGCCCAAAAATAACAATTGTAAACCGCTTTGTGACTCTGGTCTGTGAAAGGCGGTATATAAATAAAGATTACTTACTTACTTACTTACTTACTAGGCAGGTAACAGCTAAGCTAGCTAGCTGTTTCATGGTAACTTCCGGGTTTTTCGCGATCGCTTTTTGTCACTTTAAAACAGTATTTTTGTCATGAAAACGTTGACAGCAAATTCTGAAATCGTCCGTGCATGTGTGTTAAGGATGTATATGTGTACTGTATTGTCCAATTGACGTTTAATGGTGTTGATTGATTGATATGTATTTGTTTATTGAGCGTGGCTAGCTCCGCTAGCTTCTCTACCCAGACAAGTGTGCAGAAAAACTGCACAATGTAGTGACGGGCGCTGATAGCTTGTTGTACTTGCAAAGTAATGGCAGTATTTTACACACCTGAATTACAAACAGAGATTGCATTGGGGCTGCGGTCATTATTGGTTTGAGAGTTCTGTTATCAAGAAAACATGATCGGAAGAATTGCATTCAAGTCAATGGAGTGTTCTACTGCTGTGAGGAGCTGTATAATAAATTATAATTAAATATTAGAATATATTTTAATGTTTAAATTAATACATTCGGACACGAAACTAATGGTATTCTTTTACTTATATATTGTGTTAGCAGTGCATTGCTTTAGTGCCATTTCATCAGTGATTGTTGCACAGCTTACAAGTTGCGCTAATGCTAATGTTAGCATACGTATCAGATCGCAAATAAAACTAGGTGGCTCCGTGTTATGAGAGCGTAGGGAAAATGAGAAGCCTGTGAGCGAGTTGGGGGGCGGTGCTAAACATTCAAACATTGCAGAAACGGGTATAGCGCCTTTAAACAACATGTGCTAATAATCTTTTTGACCACTCAAAAGTGGTCAAAACATGAAAACCTTTTTATTTGGATGCTTTAGTGAATGACAAAAATCATTCACTATTGACAGATTGGTTCTTAATTTGTGTTAAATTGATATTTGTAACAATCCCTTTATTCTCCTGACCTTTAAATCCAGGGCTACCGTTGGCGCCAGGACCTCCAGGAAAACCAGGCTCTCCTTTTTGACCCGGAGTTCCAGGGAATCCAGGGAGACCGGGGTCACCTCTGTCTCCCTGAGCGGTGCCCGGGCCAGGGGGACCAGGGGGGCCAGGAGGGCCCTGGAAACCTGTAAGAAAAGATAGATATAGCACTGGTCAGGACAAACTGAATCAAAATAAGCACAGTTTTCAAAACCTCACAACTCTTGACTTTGTTAAACTGTAAAACTTTGTAAAATGTTGACAACAAATCAAATGATTGAACCTCTGGAACCTGTCTGTGAAGTCCTCTACATCATCTCCAGTTTCAAGGCTCAAGGGGCAATTTCTTCCCAACAAATCTTTTTATGTGAAATATATTTACCATATTCTCCGTCCAAACCAGGCAGACCAGGATCTCCGATAGGACCCACAGCACTGGACACAGAAGTGGGACCAGGGGGACCAGGGCGACCGGGGAAACCTGGCAGTCCTGGACCACCTATGACCAACACATACAGCGGTTATCTATAAACAAATCTCCCATGAGAAATTTAAACATCTAAATCTCTCCATGACTTTATTCTTTTCAGAGCCAAGTGCATTTTTTGCATTCAGAAAGAGCTAACATGAACTAGCCAGATCAGCATCACCCTTCCACATAATCACCTTACTCAACTACCTGGGACCTTGACCTATGCCTTTGATTTGTTTCATCTGTATGTAGGGTTGCCAACTTGAGAACTAAAAAATATGGGACACCATTTGGGTGGATCGGTTTGAACACTTTTTAGTCCTAATTTAAATCTACGCAGTAATCATGAATTTCATAATCACAGTTCTTAGAATGTAATGGACTATTGACTACAAATAAAAAATAACAAATTCTTAGTCAAAAATGAAATGTGATAAATAGATGGAACTCTTTGGCTGGTTAAGGACTTAATGCATTCTTATTAGTAATAGAAAATATGAAAAAGACAAATGCTGTAACATACATTATTTATGAATGTTACAGTAAAGACCATTTACTGTAAAAGCAAATTAAAAAAAGAAAAACACATGCATTCATTTAAAAAACTCACAAATGTTGAAATCAAAGTCTGTAGCAGTTAGACAAGGTCATTATTGATAATGTCTGAGAGTTTAGTGTGTGTACATGGCTTCAGTAAAAGCTATTGTTCGTTTACAAAGCTGGTCTGGATATTTGTTGACGCTCCCTAAGCGCTTTTCTCGGCACCTGCAGTGCATTGGATTCAATGGATTTCTCTGCATTAAAACAGCGCATTGGATTTGAAAAATCAACGTAGAAGAGATGATCATTTTAGCACAATTACTTTTGTTTAACAAAGTAGCTTTCATGAGCTATTGACCGCGGAAGTCCGAATCTGGGAATATGACGCTACTCTACCAAACTTCTGCTGTGGTGATGCTGCGGGCACGGCCCACGCTGGCGATTTTCAACATTAAACCCATGCATGTGATCAAGCCTACGCCTCCTTCCACACTGTTTGGCCGAAAGGTAGACGCTTAAACTGTGATTATTGTGTGCGCGTGTGTCGCGAGCGTGTGACATGCAGTGAGTGAGTGATGCATTTAAGGTGGCTCTAAAAATACAGGACAAAAGCCGTCCCGTATCAATTCAATACGGGACGCACATAGTTTTTGTATAATACAGGACAATTCCGTATTTCAAGGGATGGTTGGCAACCCTATCTGTATGTCTTTACACTTTTTGACGTACTTAATATACATTTTGTCTTAAATAGAACTGTGAGAGCCAATAAAAAGTCTTTCATAAATGTTATATCAGTTTTACCTGGAGCTCCTCTCTCTCCTTTAGCTCCATTGTACCCTGGACCACCTGGGTACGACACTCCTCTCTCTCCCTTCTGTCCTGGGATACCCGGGGCTCCGGGACGACCGCCTAAGCTGGTACCTGCAATTAAATATGTGTAAATGTGATGTGTGTTTTGATACAAAGATAAAACTTTAAACTTTTGAAGATTTACCTGGTGTTCCTGACTGTCCTTTAGGTCCTGGGAGTCCATTGAGTCCATCCAAACCAGGAGAACCAGGCAAACCTAAAGCGGAGAAATAACTTGGGTAACTCCAATCAGCTCCAGCGTTGTATAGATTACAACCTTAACCACAGCTCAAAATGTTGTGGTCAAGAAACACTAATATGAGCTCAATGTTGACATGATGTAACTGATGGCCTCAAAGAATATAGTCCTTGAATATTGTGACGAACAGCAAAGACTTCAAATATGCAAGTATTGATCCATTCACACAATTTTAATTTGGATTGATTATGCATCTTTACCATTAGATCCGGGTCCACCAGGCCCACCCGGACCTCCCGGTGGCCCGTCTGTGCCTCTTGGTCCTGGGTATCCCTGCAGACCCTTGGGTCCAGGGAAACCAGGGGAGCCTAGAGAAAATGGAACAGTTATAATAATATTACATAAAGAAGGATGTTTGTCAGCCTCTCATTCTCCTCAAATCAAATGTATCTATATTTTTACCTGTTATTCCTGGGCGTCCAGGTTCACCAGACTGTCCCTTCGGTCCGGGAAATCCTGGACTTCCTGGAAATCCATCATCTCCACGAGCACCGTCCAGGCCTCGACCACCTACAGACACAGTGAAGTATTGCTATAAGGTCAAGTTAACATTCATACCAACTGCATGCAACATGCAACTTGAAACAACATGTGAATCATTTTTTCGTACATTTCTTGCAAGTGTATAATTGTGTCACTTCTTCTCACCTGGAAATGCGACTTCTCCAGGCTGTCCCTTGGGTCCGGGGCTTCCAGGATAACCACCATAAGTATCTCCGGGAAGACCTGAAGGAAATTAACAAGCTTTCCCACTAAACATCCGACGTCCACTCAACCTCCAGATCACGTCAATATCGCGTTGGTCGGTCGTGACCTTTTATTTACGTCCAAACGACGTCTGTGCAAGGTGCGCATCTGGACGTAAAACAATGACCTCCCATATACGATTCGTTACCTGAGAAAGAAAGATGTCTTCTGATGCACGTCCGAGTTCCCCTTCGCCATCCGGCGTCGGACGTCGTCGTTGCTCGACCTGTCGGGGCAAGCTCCAACGCAAGGACCAGCACTCCAGCTGCTTCATGTGCCTGGGTGCGGGCCATGCGGCGTTGAGCGCCACCTGCGCCTCGTGTGTCGCTCTCCCCAGGGAGGAGAGTGAACGCAGGCGCGCGTTCTTCGCCGCTACAGCGCCCCGTCCGGACTCCTCTAAGGACGAGGAGTCTGAGATTGACTGGGCCCCCCTCGACATTCCACCTGTGCCCGCGGAGTGGGGTGACTGCGAGGACGGAGAGGTGTCGGAGGTCGGCTCTCTCCTCACGCTGGACGAGGTGGTGTCCAACCCGGAGCCGGACCGCTTCCCGCTGGACCACATGCCTGGGCTCTACGCCACGGCGGCGGCCATCATGGATGCCCCCCTGCCACCGCAACCGAACCAGAGGGTGGAGGACTTCACCTCTGGGTACGCAGCCCCTCGAGGGAGGAGGAGAGCCCAGCCCACGTTGTGCCCGCGTATGGACCCGATCGTCCATTACGCGACACGTGAGTGGCCAAAACCCCTAGCGGCCAAGAGGCCCGCTTTGGGGTATGGCATGTACTGCAACGTGCAGGACTGGTCCTGGACAGGCGGGGTCCCGGACATCGAGGACTCGGTTCGGGCGGCCCTGCACCCCTCCTCATCCGTGTGGCCCAGCACCAGACCTCTCCTTCCCTCCGAGCGGGATAGGATGTCTCTGGCTATGCATGACAGATGTTACGCCAATGCGGCTCAGGTCGTCGCGGTGGCGAACAACATGGCTTTCATCACCGGGGCCCTGGATAGGTCTCTCTCCTCTGACCAGGCACTCAGTGGAGACACCTTAGCCCAGGCGAGGACCACTTCAGCAGCGATCTTGCGCATGTGCCAAGCGCTAGCTGTCGATGGCGGCCGCTCTATGGCAGCAGCCCAGGTCGGGGCCAGACACCTCTGGCTGGGGGCGGTGAACCTCAGAGAGGCGGAGAAGAGGCAGCTGCTGGACCTGCCCATCTCCCAGACGTCGCTCTTCGGTCCGGAGATGCAGACGCTGATGACGAGGCTGGACAGCGCGGCTAAGGACTCGGCTAGCCTAGCAAAACACCTAGCTACGAGACGCGAGGCCCGCCCACCAGCGCGGAGCCGAGACAGAGGCAGGGAGCGCTCGCCTGGCAAGCGCCCCGGACCATATCCACGCTCCGTGGTCCATCGTTCCCCAGCGGCGAGACCCCCGGGCCCAGACAGGCACACGGGAGGTTCGCGGGACCAACACACCCATCGACGGCCTCCCTACGGTAGAGGAGGTCGGGGTGGTAAAAACTCTTTCAATAAAGGCCGTCCGGCATTTCACCAGTACTCGCTGTCTGAGTCTCATTTGGGGGTATGTAACATGTCAAATGATTTGAATTCTGTTTGTGTTACTTCTCGAGCATATAACGTGGCTCCGCCAGGCCTGCAGCCCCCAGAGAAGGGCGTGCAGCGCGCTGTGCAGACCACGAGCTCCGATTCACGGGTTCATGTTTTGCCCTCCCGGAGAGAGGGCAGGCGGAGGGATCTGATAAGTGCTAATGTGTGTGCTCCGGGCGCTAGCGTGTTAGCATCTCTGAGCTACAAGGCTAACACGGGGTTTCCCAATCCAGGGCTCTCCCCCCCCTCCATGAGGCAAGAGCCAAGGGGGGGCGCAGCAGCCGTGTCACGCGTGATGAGCAGAGCTACATTGCTAACACGGGGTTTCCTAATCCAGGGGCTCTTCCCCCCCTCCATGAGGCAAGAGCCAAGGGGGGGCGCAGCAGCCGTGTCACGCGTGATGAGCAGAGCTACAATGCTAACACGGGGTTTCCCGATGCAGGGGCTCGCCCCCCCCTCCATGAGGCAAGAGCCAGGGGGGGGCGCAGCAGCAGCCGGGTCACGTGTGGTGAGCAGTCCCGTACTTATGACGTCGGACCTGCAGAACACGTGACCGCCCTCGGCGCTCACGGTGTGACGCAGGGGCCCCCCCGGCCCTTTCAGCCACCCCCCCTCCCTGCTAGGAACACCAGGAGGGGGCGGGGCCATGACGTCTCGTGTTCCAGCTCCCGTTCCGCCCCTCACAGATTTCTACGACATCTGGAAGGAGCAGGGCTTACTGTCAGATGTTTGGCTGGAGAAAACTCTGCGCAGAGGTTACGCTCTGCAATTTTTCCGAAAGCCACCACCATTCCGAGGCGTACGGGCAGTACGCTCTCAGGTACGGGGATCGACAGAGGCACTGGAAGCAGAGGTCTCCTCCCTGCTGAGTCGAGGCGCAGCAGTGGAGGTAGACCCGCAGGACGCCACCAGGGGGCTGTACTCCCCTTACTTTCTGGTGCCAAAGAAATCAGGCGGGGTGCGTCCCATTCTGGATCTGCGCGTGTTAAACGAGTGCATTTCCAAACGGCAGTTTCGGATGCTGTCCACAAGGCAGCTCCTCGAGTGTGTCAGGGAAGGAGACTGGATGACATCCATAGACCTGACAGACGCATACTTCCACGTACCCATAGTGCCAGAACACAGGAGATTTCTGCGCTTCGCAGTGGGAGAGAGGAATTACGAGTACTGCCGTCTCCCTTTCGGGTACGCTCTCGCGCCTCGCACTTTTTCCAAATGTGTGGAAGCGGCTCTGGAGCCGATCAGACGTGCCGGGGTAAGAATATTGACCTATATAGACGATTGGTTAATACTGGCCCCATCCAGGGAAGTGGCCGTGAGCCACACGCAATGGGTCTTGTCCCACATACAGCGTCTGGGCTTTGTGGTGAACAGGGAGAAGAGCAAGCTGCAGCCAGCCCAACGCATGATTTACCTCGGTCTGCAGCTAGACTCTGTGATATTCCGTGCTGCATTGTCCGTGGACAGACGGACGAATATTACCCGTCTGGCCCGGGAGGTTCTGGCGGGCCCCAGAGTTCCCGCTCGGCGCCTCAGGTCCCTGCTGGGGATGATGGCAGCGGCTCATGCTGTGGTGCGGCTAGGCCTGCTCCACATGAGAAATTTTCAGAGGTGGTTCTCGCGCCTCAGGCTTCACCCCTCCCGGGACGGGGGGAGGCTGATCTGGGTTCCCCAAGGGGCAGCATCGGACATCAGGTTCTGGCTCACTCCGGGTCTACTGCGGGACGGAGTGACTCTGGCCTGCGCTGTGTCTCACGCCGAGGTGTTCACGGACGCGTCGCTCGAAGGATGGGGCGGGGTCCTCGGCCAGAGCTCTGTAGGAGGCTGCTGGTCGGACTCAGCCCGTCACATCAACCTGCTGGAGATGGAGGCAGTGCACAGAGTACTGCTGCACTTTGCCCCTCAGCTGCAGGGGAGACACGTGATGGTGCGCTCAGACAACACCACAGTGGTCTCCTATCTGAACAGGCAGGGGGGCACCAGGTCCCCCGCTCTCCATCGCATGGCGACGGTGACGCTGCTGTGGGCGGCGCTTCACCTCCTGTCTCTCAGGGCGCGCCACGTCCCGGGGGTCCGGAACGTGGGAGCCGACAGGATGTCCAGGGGGGGCCCACTCCAGGACGAGTGGGGCCTGGCCCCACGGGTAGCCGCGGAGATCTGGCGGAGGTTCGGTCGTCCAGTAGTCGACCTTTTCGCCAGTGCAGAGAACGCACAGTGCCCGTCCTGGTTCGCCTTAAGGGCCGCGGACGAGCCGCCTTTAGGCGTGGACGCTCTGGCTCATTACCCATGGCCAGGCGGCCTGTTGTACGCTTTTCCACCGGTGCGTCTCCTGCCGGTCCTACTGCGGAGGATCGAACAGGAGAGGAGGTCGGTGATTCTGGTGGCTCCGGACAGCCCGCATGCCCGGTGGTTCCCCTTCCTGAGGGGCATGGCGGTGATGGAGCCCTGGGCCCTCCCGGACGAGCCGGGGGCTCTAGTCCAGGGGGCAGGAGCCCTGTTTTCACGTCCGATAATCGGCCGCAGGCTCTGGGTTTGGAGGTTGAGAGGCGGAGCCTCGTAGATCTGGGTCTTCCCCCTGCGGTGGTGGAGACAATTCAGGGAGCGAGGGCGCCGTCCACCGTGAGGGCCTACGCCACGAGGTGGAGGCTATTCAGTGCCTGGTGCGATTCCCGTTCCTGGGATCCCAGGTTTTGCCCGCTGGAGGGGGTCCTGGGATTCCTACAGGAGCTTTTCGACAAGGGGAGGGCTGTCGCTACCTTGGCGGTGTTTGCGGCAGCCATTACTTCAGGTCACGACGGGTTCGGGGGGTTCACAGCCCGCTCTCACCCGTTGATTAAACGTTTTCTGCGGGGGGCGCGCAGGAGGAGGCCCCCGCTCCAGAGAACGCCTCCGGTTTGGGACCTCAGGGTGGTCCTTAGGGGGCTGTCGGGTTCGCCTTTTGAACCGGCGGCGGAGGCGAGTCCCGATTGTATCGCTTTTAAGACGGCCCTCTTGCTGGCGTTGGCGTCTGCAAAAAGGGCGGGCGATTTGTGTGCGCTCTCAGTCCATGCGTCGTGCCTGTCCTTTGGAGAGGACGACGGCATGGTGGAGTTGTGGCCCAATCCGGCTTTTCTCCCCAAGGTCATCACGTCGGCCTTTAGGTCGAGAGTGATCAGGATTAGGGCTTTCCACCCGCCGCCGCATGCCTCCCCCGAGGAGGAGCGGCAGCACCTTCTGTGTCCTATCAGAATGCTGAGGCATTACCTGGCCATGACGTCGTCATTCAGGTCGGGTGATCAGCTGTTTGTGTGTCTGGGCCCCAAGAACAGGGGCGCCCCGCTGTCGGCTCAGCGGCTGGCGCATTGGGTCGCCACGGCGGTGCGACGGGCGTATCAGGCGCAGGGCCTGGCCCCCCCGGTGGGTTTCAGGTCGCATTCCACGCGTGGGATGGCGGCCTCTACGGCCCTTCTCAGGGGGGCGTCGGTCGAGGACGTTTGCCGTGCGGCTTCTTGGGCGTCGTCCTCCTCTTTCGTCCGGTCTTATCTTTCGGATGTGTCGGACCGGTCGGTGGCCCATTCCGTGCTGAGTGCAGCGGATTGAGTTGGACCGTTGGGTCCCTCCCCTGAGGAGTGGGCCTTCGGTCTATTTTTCCGCCCTGGTGCAGGAGCTCTTGGGAGAGGCATCCTACAGGTGCGGTACATATATGTGTGTTTGACTCGGTTCTGGTAGTCCTACCTCAGGAGCTCTTGGGCGAGGCGTTCCTGAGACTACGGATGACCTACGATTGGTGATACGTGGGGGAGTCCTTGGTAGGAGTGGCCCGGTAAAACACGCTTATGTTATTCTACTGCCCTGAGTCCTCTCACGTGTGTGAGGGTCTTGCTCGGGCGGACCGCACCAATCACCCTTCGCTGGCCTGCTGGGAGTACATGTTCCTACGGCCTCCGCGTTGTGTCCCACTAGCGAAGTCATAAAGG